CAATAGGAGGGAAAGCTCCCCCCCCCCCCCCCCCCCCCCCGGAATATCAATTATTTAATTCACTCTACTACGTGATGCCGTCTATTTAGCTTAAGTGACTGCAAGGATACAATGATCTATCACGTAAGGTGGTTGGTTATGAAACTGGAAAGGCTCGATTCAGAACAATATCTCAAACAGACTTAGCCGTGAGGTTTGCAGAGGTTCAAAAGGAATCTTTGAATACCAAAGCTTCTACGCCGTTTTCATATTCTACTTGTTAACCTATGTTTATGTTTGTTTGGATCTGTTTTCAACTAATTGTTTTCCTATCACTTCTTCAAGTCATCAAACACTCGAAGGTCACTTGCTTAATAGGGAGATGCAAAGTGACTGAGGCGGACTTAACAACTATCTCACCTTCCAATGTTCGGATTGTCGAAATGCTTAATAATTAACGGAATCTTAATTTTTCCACACGTGATCTATCCCGTTGTTCCTTATCATCCTGTTGATTTTATTAAATGCTGAGCAGGCGATTTGAATACACGGACATGTGACAGAGCGTCATTATGCATTCGAACATCATTAGTCATATTATTTCTTTCTTGCCGCGATCTTCATTACTTGTATATATCGTATTCTCTTGACTGTAAATCCCTTATCGAATAAAAACCTTTTCCGAGAGGACCACCGAAGGTAGAGGCTCGAAGGCTTATATTCAAGAGAGTATCATATATCTCTTAATCGTACGTTCAGGTTTATCCAGGAATTTATCATAAAATTATTAATGTATCCGCCTCGTCATTCAGTATTTGACTAGGACTGTTTTTTTTATTCGATGTTCTCAATTAAACGGTAAAGTTTTAGATACCTCTACAGCCAGCAGAAGCATTCTTGCATGCATATTTCATCTCATTCTCCTCGTTCATCATTGTTGATTCTATTGATGTCGCGAGAAGTCAGATGATGAGATGTTAAGATAAAAGAAAGAAAATAAGTAGATTTGACTGGAGAATACGATGGGCTGGTGTGGTACCAGTGTCATACTATGCTTTTAGGATCCAGAGGGTATCGAGAGTGTGCGTTTGATTCCGCGACGATCCGAAACACAGCTAAATTTCGATGTGATTGTTTTAACTAGTTGGAAAATAGAATTGAAGGCCGCTCGATCTCATTAGAACATTCGTTACCGTTTCTATTTTTCCTACACCGAATGTTTTCTTTGATCTAGCATTTTGGTCATACTCCAATCGTAGCAACATCATAATGATGCATAAAGCAGGAAAAAACATCTCTTCTCTTAACTTTTCATCATGCTTAAAAGAAGATCTCACATTGNAGATTTAAAGAACAGAGAAGCCTTACATTAGGCAGTGTAATTCTCATGAGTAAAGAATTCTGCAAACGATGAGGAATGAAGAAGGAATGACTGCGACCCGTGAATGCTGTTAACGTGACAGCATGTGAGAAGACTCATTCTCAACAATCACGGTTAATTCAGAGGCACATTCTTTCTTCATATTTATCTGCATTATCCATGAATTATCCGTGTTTTATTCAGATCAAACATTTACACTGTAAAGTTGTGGACAGTTATGTTTAATCTCTTGGAATTTGCACAGATCTGTTCTTATTATGTATCTGATTGTTATAAATTGTATTCGCGTTGGAGAGGCAAAACAATGAGCAGTGAAGTTTTGCATCACAAAGGTTTACTCGTGATTCCATAAAATGCATAAACCAGACCACATTCAATGAACTCAGCATATCCATACAGTAAATACAGTAATATAAAATATTTAATCCTATTTCGTTTTCAGAATACGAATTTTGTTTTATCAATTTAAATCCTTCACAAAATAATTTCTCAAATGTGCTACAAAAATGTTTTATTGTGCAAAAATGTATGACGACATACTGTATAAAATAATGCGTGGAAATGTACATTGCAGCACGAGCAAACGAGTGATTGTTTGATGTGATGTGTGTGTCTGATAGATAGATGCAAGGAAAGAAGATGCATATATACTTTTACATACGAGCAAAAGAAATGTTCTGTGACGTTAGTTATAATAGTTGAGGTGGTGGCGTTGTTGTGGTCTGATACATAGAAATTGTGGTTAGGCGATTGTGGGGTAGGGTAGAGGAGTGGGGTGGGGTGGTGCAGTAGCAGCAGAGTGTTCTCCATGTTCATGATGTGTTGTGCATGAGTGTGTTCGCGTGTGCGTTGCATGATGTGTGTGTATGTGCATATGCGACGACGTTAACATAATCGTTAGTTCGTTACCAACCACCAGCCCGAGCAATTCCTCTCCGTTACGTCAGCGCTAGAACAAGCAACGCTCGGTGCTTCGGTCATTTCTGTTGCTGCTGCTTGTCATCTCGTGATGTGCCACTATCCACCTCTCATATTCTCTTAAGTTCGGTTTCAATCGTTAGTCAAGATTGATTGAGCACTTGTTAAGGCTTTTGCTGACCTTATTCTCGGTGTTCTTTTTAACAACCTCACCCAAAAAATTCCAGTCACCAAACTCGCTCGTTTCAACATCTTCCATTCTGCTCCGAAATTTCCACGATCATCTCAACCGAAATTCTAACCAGCCAGCCAGATATCTTTGCTGTCATTTCCGAACGGATCGCTTTCAAAGCAAGTAATAATACGAAATGAATTCTAACTCCAACCGAAAAATCCAACCGAATTCAGCAGCAACAAAAACAAGCACATTAGCGATCAACTAACGATCCGTATGTATTTGTTCAGTTGTGAGTGACAGTGGAATGACTATATGGAGCATTATAATCGCTATCGATACTCGCACCATGCTCACACTACATCCACGGCTCGACTCCTACTTCAGTCTCTTCAGTTTATCCTTTTATGTGTACATTCATTCAATCATACAACGCAGTTCAACATGCACACAACTTGCTATGCACTCTCCTTATATTCGCGTATTCTTGACGTAACTATTATACTCTTACAACTTACTTCTTTATGTCTATATTGCTGTGTGTTGTGCGTATTGCATTATGGTCATGAAATGATGATACTGCTGCTTGAGAAGTAGTAGCATTAGCTTTAGCATTAACTGACATTATAGTAAGAGTGGAGCGTTGAATAGAACTACTACGAAAAGGAAAAGCACAAACTCAAAAGAGCATTAACAAGGAAGGGAGCAAGCCATTTTCTTCATCGCCTTAGTCAGTAACACGAAATATGGTATCGTTCTGTTATTCGTTACTTAACGTTACATGTTTCGGACAGACGACGGTTCATTTGTGATGTTCTTGATGTTGATGTACACCATATTCAGTCGCTTGAATAATGCACAGTGCAAATGTCTTCCGTTTGTATTCATTTCATGTTTGTGTCTTATCTTCTTTTCGTGTCTTTCGATGTGTGTGTGTGTGTCTAGAACTATGAGCACCATATATAGAGCTGTACAGATGAAGAATGATCGCGAATGAAAAAGAAACACATCACCTCTTAGGGTAACTCAACTCAACCCTCAACGCTAACTAAACTCAATGTCAGTCTCTCCTTATGCGATTCATTTCAGTTCCACTTTACTTCCCTCCATCCCTCACCCCAACTCAACAAGCAGCTGGTTTACCCTATGCAATGAAGCTTCAACGGCAACATTGACGATACTCTTCACAATCACCCCACCCCATCTCATACTTCGTTTTATCCATACCAACAACAATTCATGTAAATATCCCTTTTGGTCGAATCGTTCATCTATTTCTTCTTTCTTTTAACATACCATTCTCAGCTTATGTTAGCTTAAGCTAATTCTGTCTTCTTTCTCTTCGAATAACTGACTCTATTTCGAATCCTTTATTCGTTCGTTCACTACATTAACCGAGTTGGAAACAACCATTTTCAACACCTAACGATAAGATCGACCTGGTTTCATATTCTCTGTTCTGTTCCGTTTTGTACCGGTTGTGGTTCGTCATGCTCTTTCATGAGAGTATGTTCACATTCTCTCGATGGACTGAATTCCATGCTTGTTTATTGTGGTTCTTGCATTAAGGGGGATCGAACTATGTGCCAGCAACTTCATATCAACTGCTGTACTAACACATCAACTCGTTGTGAACAACTTCATTATGCCTTCGTTCACCAACCACCACCACCACCATCCCACTGCAATAACATAACGCGTTTCTAGGTCAATCTCATGATCAATCGACCCTTTCTCTGCTCTACGATATCCATGCACAACACACACTGCTGTACACTCGCTCGTTCTCTTACCCCAAAGGCACCAGATGTATTCTCATATGCGTTTGTTTATGTGTGTATATCTGAAACCTTTATCTCACCATTCCGTCTTTATTTCGGTTCTATTTGCTTTCATTTTCCGGACGATATTGTCAGTTCATTAGTTTTATGCATCCGATTCATAATTCTTTTCCAAAAATAAAATTTTTGATATCAGAACCTGATTCAAACAAACCTTTTCTAATTGTCACAGCAAAGAGCTCAAGTGATCAGGCTAGAATTATTACCGATCAAGCGTCTCAACCTAACACCTTCCAGTGTATTTTATGCAGCTTCGATAAAAGATTTTTTGAAAGAAGTTCACTGCACCGATTTGGAATGAGAATGAAAAGAAAAATGTAATTTTCCAATTATTTGAAATTCGTTTGAGATCTGAATATTTGATAAACGCAAGTTGATAGCTAGTTCGATTCATTCTGATCTTGTTTATGTGATCATCAGCGATGTGAGATGTACATACTTTAGCGTTCATTGTGCACTATGACCTCCTTTTGAGTGCAGAACCGAAGTAGATGCGCTGATAACTGACCTCACGCTCTGCCTTTTGTGATGACCTCATTTCTTAGCGTCATTCATTCAGTTACCTCCCAATTTTCCTATCGTTTCAAGGAAAGATTCAGCGGATTTCAACTTGAGTAGTGCTATCCATATTCTCATCCTTGTTCCATTGATGAAGTTCTGAGTGAACCTCAATAACGATCGATCGAGTCACACAATTTAATCCAGTTCATTCATATTCTACTCCATTCCTTTGTCAATAATCTCTGCATATTGCTATCAGCGTAATCGTGTTGAAACAATAGATTAAAGTCATCACGTTCATTACTATGTTTAATCAGCAATTGCATAAATGTTCACTGCTGACAATTGACTGCTGCCATAAATGTTGACTGCTGACAATTGACAATTGACTGCTGCCATAAATGCTGACTGCTGACAATTGACAATTGACTGCTGCCATAAATGTTGACATGTGCTATTTTCAATAATTATTGCTCAATTTTGTGTCGTGGTCAATCTTTCGAAACTTTGCTTGACTTGACAACGCGACTAGTGGCACTGCTGAACGACTGAAGATAGGAGGCAGTTTCGAAACTTTCAGACAATAATTCTGGCGGATCCAAACCATTCCTCGCATTCGACGGCAGCAAATCGAAAGGTTTTGCGACGTTCGAATGGAATGATCAATTTCAAGCAGTTAGCTAGCGGAGTCACATCACAACTGAACGAAATGATTCAAGAGAAGGACAAACTGAAACGAACGATGAAAGAGGAATGCGATGAAACCGAGTAAGTTTCACGTCTCTGAACGCTCGATTCAAAACATTCTCCCACAAATATTTTATCGTGATAAACAGTTGCATTTGAATTCGATAATACAAATACTTTTATTCATTTTCTTCGCTGACATTTATTCCACTTATCCAGATCTGTGTACTGAATGGTTATCTATCTTGCATATTTTCTGTAGTGAGATAGATATGCGTTGTTATTCTCGCTATTGTTATTACGTGTAATCAATCATCAATAAACAGTTTTGTTTCATTCTAGTGCTAAGAAGTCACGTGTTGATGAAGCGGATAGCGTTCAAGCAGAAGTAAGCAGTGAACAACAAGAATCAAGGTAGCGATTTTTTATTTGGCACCTCTCGCAAATCATTCTATCAGTGGCCTTGTCAATGTTGTCATTACTTTTATTTTTATCATCATAATCAATTTTTGAATATGATCATCGCTCAGTAACGATTCTGACGTCTCTGTTATTAGAATCAGTTTTGCGGAAACGTTTCTCGTTTGCTGCGTTATTCTGTGATTTGTTCGAGTTAAGCTCTAAGCGGCATACTTGGATTCAGAATTACAAAAGCGATGACTTATATTTTCAATCCACACGGTTTATCAGACATAAAATCTTGTTCATTTCTCGTCGTCATGATAAAATTCGAATTTCGGTAGTGAAATTGTGCGCGTGTTCGAATCCAAATTCAAATCTCATTATTTCTCGCAGTAATGTTCATACACCTGGCCTTGGGGATGGGCATGCTTGCGTTCGTTTACGGCGATAGTGCTTATGCAGTACGACAAAAAGTGGAATGAAGATAATCGTGAAAAGATAGGAACTTGTTTTGACTGCATTACTCCCTCCCCGTTAGGACTGGCCCCCATCCTCCTGAAGTCCGCAACTAGATATACGTTATTAGTGAATTTTATGACGGTAATGTCTTGAAATATTCTTTTTGCTTACTGCAATATGTCATAAATGTCTGTTCGAAAAGCGAAATGTTAGTGAGTGGAAACGCTGAAAACCGATGATCAGTGACAATTATCGCACGTTTTGATCTAATTGCCCTCTGCAAAGTTATGACCTCTTATAATCTTCACCACTCACATCAAGTAACCTATCGGGGAATATTTTCACGGAAGAGAGAAATTCTGTGGCTATGAGGTACTGATGCATGGTTTACATCGATATGAAACATTCGTGTTTAAGAGCGATTTTATGAATGTTTCAATTCAGCGTTACTTATTACTGACATTTAGTAGGGATTGTATGTCTTAAAAGCATTCTGAATTGCATCATATTACATTTTGAAGCAAATTGAGTACTTATAAACGCATTATCATTTTTACAAGTTTTCTTTTTTCCCGAATTGATAAGGATTTACCATCTTGTCGTTTCACTCTGTCAACTGAACCTTTCCGCTGTTGCTATTCGATTTCTTCTTTAAGTTGTTATGCACTTGCCTAAATTCAGATCTTTTCAATATTTCGGTAACAATCAATTCTAATGTTGCAAAAAGGATTTGAAGAAAATAATTCCGTTTAATATGATGACTTATTGTAAATGGATACTTTGTAATTTATGTCAGAACCTTTTGAAAAGGATTCTTCATTTACGTCAGTTTCATGGCTTCAGTTTTGTGTAGCAGTAGTATCAACCAAGATCGTTAATATTATCGTATAGCATCTTGAAAATTCCATAACTTTATTTTTGGTGCTGAAATCGCTTCAATTGACTTTTCATAACTGAATTGTGCTCCAATGATCGCGCATATTCAAAGATCGCATCGTACTGATAATCCAATGTTTTTAATGCCATACTACCTAATTTATGATTCCGAAACAAATGAGATCGCTGAGAAATTTTATCTCTAAAAGTATTGCTCATGTTTTCATCTTTTTTATAACGTTGATTTTGTTGAAGTGAAGCGGGAAATGAAGCATCAATAGAGCGATCCTTATCACCATTCAACACGTCTGATATGGTTCACGCGAATGCGAAAACTTTAGCACAAGTTTTCGGGAGTACAAATACCAACAAGTTTGTTTGTTTATTGGTGCAGTTCAGTGTTATGCGAGATGGTTCATTTGATTAGAGAATATTTCAATTGTCAGTTAAATTAGCTGCAAAAAGTTAGAAAAAAACTTTCCAGTCAATCAGCTGTAACATCGTCGGATATAAATCGTATGAATCGAGAGCGTGGCTTGGAGATTGTTAGTATGGCCAGTCGATATGAGGCGCTCGTTGTAAGCATTCCATTTGCACCAGTCATTTTCACATTTCACATTATTAATTTCAATTATTGAATATTGCTCATTATGAACATTAATTATCACATTTATTTTAATCATTATTGACGACATTTATCAGTCAATGTTCGTCAATCTTCAATTCAAATACACAATCACATCTCAAAATTTCGTTCCGCTTACGAAAACTGTCGTAATTTTAGGAGAATTTTAAGCATTGTTTTTAGCCTACTTATTACTTTAGTACGTTTTGGTTTTTAAATATGTTGTATTGATTGATAAATCAGTTATTCATACGTTGAAATCGTAATCAATGAATTNTTATTTATGAATTCTTCAACTGACTTTATTTATGGATCAATTTTTCAGGACAGTGCGTCACGCTCACCAGCGGCCAATATGGAACGCAATAAGATTTGGCATCAAATAACAGATGACATCAATAAGAAATATCCACATTTGAATATGTTAACATTTGAACAGTGCAAAAAATTGTGCAAATATTACAAACGAAAAGATCCGGCACATTACGGCTTATCGCTGAATCGTTTCATCGAAGAGCAAGCACAAGAAAGAAAGTTGATGAACAGTAAGAGTAGTAAGGGCGATTATGCAAGACATTACGACGAAACCATTGATGACAGTGAAATATTGGAAGCGAATGATATTGTGGATGGTATCTGCAAGGATGTGATCGGTGCGGCAGACGTCGTCAACGGTACTGACTGATTCATTTGTCGTTGTCTCTATCGTTTTTGCTTTCTGAAAATTTCTTGGTTTGTTGGTTCTATATGTACACTTCAATTGTGTGGAACATCTCGCTGAAAGGATCACTACGGAAACAAGTGATTTCATGAGAATTAGATAGTTATTTTATTGTGTTTTAATAGCACTCAATCGCTCGAATATTGCTTAATTCTTCTATTTAGTGGATGCTACGGCAGAAGAATCAATCATTCGTGAGGATGATAAACCATCAAACGATCTGCTCGAATTTTTGGCTCAGTGGTTCGTTTATTTTACGAAAATAAAGCGAAGATTGTATTGCTTGTTCAGTTTTATATTAGTTATTTGATATTGGTAATGTCAGATTATGTTCGGGACAGTTGGAATACGTTAACTGTTTCTATTTTCCAAGTCAATTCTATTGTTTTTCCATGCAGAGAAAGAACGGTTCAGAAGAGAACAGTTTGTACGGTTTGCATCCATTCACGAAATTTTGTGACTAATTGTAAGAAGGTGAACACATTCGTTTGATTTGCATGGGAGTGGAAATGCGAGCAATTTGCATCAATTGCAAATTGAAAGAGATAAATTCAGTTCGGCATCAACTTCGGTTGGCGCTGCTACTTCAGCGGATGGTCTCTTGGCGGCTGCAGCCTCATCAGCACCTCAATCCTCATTACATCCATCGTCATCGTTCTTGAGCCAGCAGAAAAAGGAACGAATCCAATTCGTTTATAAGCTCGCTGAAACTTTTGGCACCATTTTTGAATCGCAGTCGAGGTAATTCTATGCTCTAGTGCCGTAATACTGACTATGAGATAGAATAATGTTTTCCTCAGATCTTCAAAATACCCCATTCTCTTTCGCGAGGTTGTTTCAGTATTCTGGTTCGAAATGTGATTTTACTCAAAAGTGAGTAATTGTTTGCATTGGTGAGCGTAAAAGAGATTGTTTTTTGTGCAGTAATTGCAGGTCGTATCAAATAAACGCCGAACGAAATCAAGTATGGAAGCAAATCGCTGATGTAACGAATGATAAATACAGTAATGAATTGGGTGATTTAACAGTCGATCAAACCAAGAAGTTATACGCCAATTATAAACGAAAGTGTCAATATTCAATGATGAGAAATGCGCAAAAGTTACTGTCCGCATCGTCATCTGACGATACTAACTTCACCAATAAACAGTCGTCGAGTACAAATGGATCGAATTCCGTTGAGTATGTTTTGAGTGTATTATTGAGCTTATTCATTCATTCACTTCAACCTTCGACGTCTCCAGGTTGAATTGGTGGTTGTATTCATTTATTTTCATTGATCTGTCCCGTTGATGTGCATTGGCTATTGTTTGAAAGATGAGATTCTATCGAATGAGTATTATCATTGTGATAGTCTTGAACGATTAGAAAATCTATCGAGAGCAGCATACAAATACATTGAAAATCCTAACAATGAGTAAAGTTCGAATGCTTGGCGTTGATAGGGGAATCATGCTTCGAACAAAATTGAATTGTCTTCTTCTTTTCAATCATTTTGAGTTATTGTAAAATCTTGAATAGTTACGAATGGAATTGATCCTGATGACGTTACCGATACTAACAAACGTAATCCTAGCAATTATTGTAATATAGTGATAATTCAACAAGTTTTAGCGTTGATTCGGATGCGTCCTCATCGAATTCTGAACTGTTGTCGAGATTAGTATCTCCGAACAGTCTGCCAGCTACACGCAATGCACAGTCACCAAGTATTCTGTCGAAACTCATTTCACGTGACCGAATAAATAACGCTAATAATGCTAATAACAATACTACCAACACCACATCAAAATCAAACGGCGATACCCCTAAAAACGGTTAATTGTTTTCATTTGTTATCTTGTTTTCAGTGTTTGAATTGAATTTAAAGTCATTCTCGTCATCTCAACTCGTATTCATCAGTAATTTATAAACGAGTGGTGTGGGTGCTTACAAGTATATCTACAGTCATGTTAATGTGAACATAGTAACGTTACATGGGTAACTGTCAATGCGAACGTAGTAACTTCACAATGGCTGTAACTTTCTTTATATATACAAATACGTGATAGAAGGTGCCAACGAAGTCCGTATATACATTTCTCTTGAATTATGAATATGTACCGACTCATTTTTTCTTCGAACAGGGTTATCATCCTGAGAGCGACATCATTCTGAAGATGTTCCGTTTGGGTTGGGATAATTTCTTGTAGTGGCGNCTTAAGAGCCACAGTGTATGCGTGCATATATTGAATGATTTCGTTTAAAGGTGTAAATACGAATCGCACCTCATCAAACGCCTCATCGCTGTCAACCGTTGAACTGTTGGCATTAATCGCGGACCGAGACGCCGAAATAAAACAACTCCGAAATGAGCTTCTGCAGGTGCGTATTCATATCTGCTAATCACATTCAACTCAGCCCTAAATATCGGCGAAATTCAATCACATTTATTACTTCCATCTCATTTAACAGCAACTTTAATGTATCGCTTATAAAGGTTTTATGGACTAATCAAAACATCTGAAGATACCAAAACATCTTTTTCATTAGCATCAATGAGAATATTTTTCGAAAAAGATCGCTCTTAAATTCCATGTTCGTGATATGCATTTGAAAACGGCAATTATGTTATGACCATAGCCACGGTAGCAGTGTTACAAAAATTGTTCGTGAATGTTTGTGTGAATGTCGATAAAATGGTACAAAATTGAATTTCAATAAAACTTTCAGAAATCTGTTGAACATCAATTGCAAATCTCAAAAGTTGTCGAGAAAATGTCTGACTTGATAAAAGTTGCTGTCAATGCGAACGTACAACGTGAAATTATCAGTTCGTTAGGCGCCACGACGTTCGCATATGGTACGGATACGTTCTTGGAAAAGGTTTACGATGATGAAAACGATCTATAAATTTCATGTTGATAACGATTTGTTTTATTGCACGTTGTTGTTGTTATCGTTAGTTCTGTCTTCATCATCACTGTTATTGTTCTGACATATTTTTTATACGTTCCGTTCAGTTAATCTGATTCTCGTTGAATTCCTTCTCGCATATCTGCATTCTTCGGTATAATATTTTTTACTTGATGCGTCCCGAATGTTGCGTTATTTGAATTCGATGGATATGTAAAATGCATCTCGTTGTTTGTTTCGTTTGCACTTGTTCACTTTAATTGTTTTATGTAACCTTTTTCGGTATTCACTGACTTCTGCAATTGTCTTCGAAAATCATTCAATCATTCTATCAGATGAATCTCCCTTAGACTTCATTCAACAGTGTGTTTATATTGGGTGCTCCGTTCTGGTACGGTGAAAATATTCGAAGGAAAAGTGTGAAGTATTTGGGAGAATTAGTCGAGGTTTATCATCACTTATAACGCTTTATCCTTTTTTGTGCTGTTTTGTTGGTATTCATTGAAAATGTTTGTTGAACTCTTTGCACATATTTGTTGCAATTCTGTTTTCATTACGGCATTCAAAATTCCTTTGAGCACAATCATTGTCAACTGATTATTGCGATTGATTACCGGGTTAATATCGTTCGAGAGTATAAATATCAGTAGATGATCATATAATCTCAATAGCTGTTGTGAACGTTGCTTTCGGTCATTTATTTCAGTTGATTGAGTCAAAGATTCTGTTGATTTGAAATGTCTTACTGATTATTGTTTTTTGTTTCGTTTATGTAGTCGCTGATTATATTAGAAGCAGAATAGTGCAGATTTCTTGTTATTTTATTGCGATTTACCTGAATCGGTCGTTTTTCTTTAATTTGCCATTCGTTTCTTGGGCANTTTAATAGTTAAATTTTAACTTTTCGAAGCGATACAACGAAATGATATTCAGCTTGTATTAATTGTGGTACGTAGTATAGCGATTGATTTCTGTTGAGTATTTCTGATCGATGTGTAGCGTTTCAATCGCGTTCAATTAGCAATCTGCGAAGGATTTTGCAGTTATACGCATCATTTGCTGTTTTTCCTTTTGCTGTGATTTACCTTTCGATATCACATAGAATAAGTTCAAGCCACTGAAATATTGAGATATATTCGATATGTTATGTGGATTTGATTTATCGTGGTTTAACCTTATAATTTCCGCTTTTTTATTCACTGTCATCGTTATCAATTGTCCAAACTTGTTGTTATTCCGAACTTACAATTGGGATGTTATTGTTTTTGTTATTCAGTCACTAATAATATTTTCATGATCTTCGCAGATTTCATATCATTTATTTGCTTATCACTATGCACTTTCACACATGAGGCAATATCCGTTGTTGTACTGTTTCCAAGTGGAATTTTTGTCGTTGAAATTCTTCAAACCTTACAGACAGATCTATATGTAAGTGGTGTTATTTAAATAGTCAACTAGTTTGTTGTTCGTATGTGAAGGCGTATATTGTGGCACGTTTCGTTATTGTACGCATTCCGAGTTGTTTTTACTTTTCATTTCCTCACCATTCGAACCCGTGGTTGTTTTCTTTCTTGCCGTTAGCCGCCGCTTCCTGGGCGAACATTCCTTCATCACTTCTATACCTGCATCATTTTTAAAGTTTTTATTCTCCTCAATGCTTTTTTCGTCAACAAATAAATTTATTCGTTAACACTGGTAAACATTACTCTCTTCACATGGATGATTATCTTTTTTTTGAACACTTAAATTTGTTTGCTACGGAAAAAGCGACGAAGAAAGCGACGTGAAATCTGGAAAAAAAGACCACATATATCACTAAAATTCGTATTTCGTTAGACGTCACGCAGTTCAGTAGTTCATTTGCAGGCTGGTGTGGACTCTGAATCGTTTCACTGAAACAGTATGTTGTTGCTTGGTTTGCATCCCAAATTCCCTTCCTATTGTTAGAAGAATCTTATTTAATCGACTGAAGAGATTATGCTGCTCCGTAATCACCACAATGGTCAATGTGTTATCATCCACGCGTTTTATCCACTTTTCCACCTTCTCAGCCATAATCGAACTAAAACAATCGTAACCCGAAAGCTCATTGCGAAATACTCAAATTTCCTTATCATCCTGTAAAGCTTCCTCAACTTCGAAAATGTCCTTTTAGATAAGTTGTCAGTTCAGATACTCCAATACCTTCGAGTTTCACGCTACATAACAAAACCTAACATTGCATTCCAGTGCTCCATGATCCACTCAACTGTGTATAGTATGCGCTACAAGATGGTGCATAGTTTTACCGGGGCTAGTAATCGCATAAGTAGGAAACAAATTCATTTTTCCCCACAGTTACAATGGTGTAACGCTCCCACAGAGTTTGGCAAACGGCGAACGTCTGAGTTTAGCGTAATATCCATGCAATAATAACATTACCAAGAAGAGCGCGAAAATTTTTCATTCGAAATTATTATTTTGATCAAACAAAAAATGTCAGTATGATCTCACGTCCCGTGTATGATTCAAATTTATTTTTTATATTTGATCAGCAGTTTTAATTCGTTACGATTTTATGCTGCTCCGTAATCGCCACTATCACATTCTCCCTTCATCGATATCCTTCTCTCCGCCCACCTAATAATATCAGCACAGGAAGTCATCCATATTCACGGAAATCTAATTTCGATTATTGATTCGGCGATCAAAGAGATGTATTGGATATCCTTTCATACTTCTTGACGATTTCTAAGCAGAACGATCCGAAATAAGCCCAAAAATACCCATTGATTGGTGAAGTGCATAATCGGATTAAAACAGTGATCACTCTGAATCAGTAGTAATGAGCCGTTTTAACTACGGCGATTCAAAACGATCCATCAGCATATTAATCGCTCAACAGCCAAGCAACGATGAATAAATATTTTGCATAATTAGATACAACCAAATAGCAACCATTGCAATTACTTGTCAGTCACCCGAGCAGTCGGAACGCTAATCGCTTATAGTTAGTGTCCATGCAACGTTTTCAAAGAGATCTTGTTTCAAAGAGATCTTGGTAGTTTCAAAGAATTTCTTGATTTGTTTTCTGAACCAAATGAATTCGCGAAATGAAAATATCGTTCATTCGTTCCATATGCGTTAGTGTGAGTCGGTGTGTAGAATTCATATTTCCAAACAGTGGCATTCATGGTAATTTTATGTGCGATTTATTTGGTCTATCAAAAGTTTCCGAAAGTTCACAAATCACTCCGGACTGCTTTCAGTTATATGCTTGGTTTTATCGTGGAGTGATGTATCATTTTTTAACCTTGCTACGCTCAATCAATTAGTGTCGATGACATAGTAAATATCGCTGCAGAAGTTCCTTTCCGTTGATGAAAGAAGGGGTTAACAGAAAAATTATTAATGGTAGTTTGCGTTATGAGTACAATTTAGACGAATGCAAGAGCGAATTGCAATGAAAGTTAAACACAACGTTAAGCATGAGCGCAGATGATAGAACCACCATAGATCATTGGTTCCGTACATTTGCAAGAGGAGGTGAATGATAGCCTCTTCAGACTGATGGGTTTTGCCATCCTTTGATTGCAATTGTGGAAGCTGATGCAGGTGGCAATATCTAGACAAATAACTCTATCTCAGACAACCGTTTCACTCCATTTTTAGCAAATTGGGAAAACAAGAAGTTTGTTAGTTAGATTCTTCATAAGTTAAACGTTGTGTTACGAGACACTATCAGGCTTCGCTGTACGTTTTTGATTCTGAAAATAATCAAACAGATGTAATTGCACTTTTACTTTCACCCCTTATGTTACCCGGACCTATCTCCAATAATTATTTTTCAAAAATCTTCATTTGTGCATATGCGAGAAAACATCTGATGAACGAAAACTGAAAAACGAAATTTGCCCACTTGGACTGCAGATACAGTTTTTCGTTCGTTGTTAATGTTGATTTGGACTTCAGAATTAGTTTCTATAGCAGGTTTTCTCGAAAGATAAGGTTTATGTTTCATATTAGTTCGTTCATTATTCTACTTAAGTAAGTTATTCAGTTGTGGATAAATGCGAAGAACGATGAATGAAGAACAATGTGGTGATGGTCAGCAAAAATTTTTGAAAGCAAAACAATATTTGGGATATTTGCTTCAGAAACACCTTCTTTTGTGGAGTGACAGCCAAGAGGAGGTCGGTCATATTCGCATTTTGAATGACTCTTTTGAATTTGAAACATTCGATCGTGTAAAAACATGTCGACCGAATCATTCATTCAATCAGATTTCAGATGTTCAACGCAGTGAAAAAGACCGAAGAAGACGTGAAGTTTAATTTCTTTGATACCACCAATTTTGACACTCATGCAGAACTTGTTAAGGTTTTCGTCAAGAGCCTCACTGATCAGAAAGCGAATCACTACCTTGATGTCAGTTGATATATTTGCATCTCATTTTCATGATTCTCCACTATCGTAAAATATTTTAATTCGTTCATCGTTAACAATGAAATTCGTGCTGAATGATTCATCCGAAAATACCTTCAGTTAAAATTGAAAACTGTTTTCATTTCAGAGAGCTTATACATTCTGGTCCAAGCAGCTTGCACCAGCCGTATTATTACTAGAGGATCGAGGAGAGCGCTCCACATTCGCACAGTTTCCAAAACTTATAGCAGCACATTTGCTCATTGAGGGAGAGGTATTTCCATACAATACATTTCGGATTTGTTCAAATACGCTTAAAAATTTTTAATCAGCCTTTTATGAATCGTCAGTATCTTTCTTCTGTTCCATTCAATAATGCTGTTTTTGACGATAATGATCGTGGCAGTGGTAATGATTGTTATTATGACAACTACTACGTAATGGTTAATATTATTATATTATCGAATTTATCGTTGTTAACTTGCATGTAGAATTGACATTGCAGTATAGTAAAGCGGTGGAGTGTTTTGCACATGTGATAAAGTTGGATGAAGTGGATTCAACATGTCGGTTGTTAATATTACAATGGTTATGTAATTTGGGTGAATGGAAACTTGCAAAAGAACAGTTGATTGTTGAATCAGCGTTACCCTCAATTTATGGTACACATTATGAAGCAATTGTCAGTGTCATCAGCAGTATAGTCGCGTTTAATACGGGTAACCAGAAGGTTTGTTTATTACATTATGCTTTAGATCATGTGTTTATTTATGTAGTTGTTCATTGGAGTCATATGCTTCCCTATTATCACCAGCTATCGTGAAAGAATATCGCCTTCGTTATTCTATAGTAACCTCCTCACATAGCCAGTAATATCGCATTGCTTTGAAAATCACCCGTCTTTTTGAGCTTCATCGTAGTCATTCTTTTGACGATGTCAGATGTATTGCGATTGCTCTATGTTATATTGCAATAAGTGTTATCAGTTCGTTTACTCAATGCCATTGAGCAAGGATGTAGTATCTCATAGCAGCTGGTAGCAATGGAATGTGGATGGATCTATGAGTTTATACTTCAGGAAGAAGTTTTGGAGGAGCTGATAACCCGATGGAATGAACTGGTTGAGAGTAAGTCGAAAACATTCCTACTCTACCAATGCCAAGCAATTATCAAACGAGCGCTTCATATTGCTAGCCGTCTTCCGAATGCTGATATCAACAAGGTTATTAGTTTGAACATTGTCGCAATATTTTATTGTTGCATTCAATGAGCAAATGAAAATGTTGTGCATTATAAGATGTTATATTAATATTTTAGTTGTTCTTCTTACAGAATCAATCATTATGACACTGAAAATATTTAGATAGAAGATCCGATCAAGAATTTGGACATTGAAATTGCGCGTTTAACGGTGCTCGTGAAAAATCGACATCGATCATTCTTTCAATATGACGTTTCTATTGAAGTGCAAAAGAAGGTGGTCGATCCCGATAAATTTCGTTAGTTTTTCGATTGTTTTGCTCGGGTAGGAAACAAAGTGATCTTTTCATGAGTGTGTTTTAGAAAGTGATTAATCTTCGTGACAATCTTTTGACGTCGAATCGTACGTCGTCTTTCGCAATTTTGGTTTCAAGCGATTGCACAAATCATTAAATTGTTTTGCGGTCGTGATGTTTTAAACGGACGCATTCTCTCAAAAAGGAGGAAGAGAGAGTTTCGGGTTGTAAGAAGTAGAGATGGTTGACAAATCAATTCAGTGATAGTGCTCTCATCTGGGAAGCGACCAAAGGGAGTCATCATCTCAGATGGCTAAAGGGATCATGAGGCGGAACTAGGCTCTGATAACCACTGAAATATACATTATTACGTATTGAAACCGTGTGCGATGGAATCAATATTTTACTGTTGAAAATGTTTTTAGCAACAGTTTTGATTGGATCATTTAGTCAAGAATGTAAATTTCTTCATTAGTGAATATTCATGTGCAGTTATGAAGTGTGAATCAGTTGTTTAAGTTTTTAGTGAATTTGTGTTCGAATATTGCTGAATATTTCGAGACGAGTATCTGTAAATGTTATGAATTCACTGAAACGGGTATACTCCGTGAATGTGAGGGCATTGTTATGAGCCTTTGGAGACAATCACTTCGACTGGTTGCTTTACCCAGGTAAATTTAAACTTTTTCAGCTCTTAAGAAATATTTTTTCGCACACCTGTATTAGAAAATGATAATTTTGGGAATGCGTTCTCCAGTTCTTTGTATTGTAAAGTACATGCCAAAGAAGTGAATGTTTAAATGTTTTATACAAAATGAAGGATTTTTCTAATCGAAACTGAGAATTTTCCCTCACAATTATTAATAATGAATAATTATTTATAAATAAATGAAGTGAAATATGATGCAAAGATATTTGCAGATTGGTTGTTTCGTTGAATTTATTGATGATGCTTATTTTAACGTCAAAATTTATGACTAATAGACGAGATTCTCTTCGTACTGTTTATGCTGCACTTCTCAACGTGAGCTCATCTTTTTTTTCGAATTTTTAATTTTTTTGTTGTATATAACAGTTTATTAAATAAACCAGTGCATAATAGTAATGATGCGCTTTTAGAAATCTGATTCAGAAGGTGACAGCAATAACCGTGAAACAAATGTGCTCCAAAGTTCGGCTTCTCCGAGCAAGTGAGTTGAGAATTTCACTCGACACTAATTAACCAAATCTCTTTTTTCAAATTCTAAATTAATTTATCATTTTTGAACTGGCAAACATGCAGTGTATTGAAAAAATCATTTATTAAGTATCTTGAAATTCAGTACACCTACAAAGCAGTCGTCAGTGGCTTCGAGGATGTTGAAGGCGTTCTGCTATCCCGATGAAGGTGTTTCCAAGTTGGTGCTTATATTGTTTGGATGACATCAAGTTTCAGTTGAAACATTGTGATATTTCATGACAGTTAAGATATTGATTCGGTATTTGCAGTCCGACTTTTCACGACGAAATCATTCGAAATATTCTGCGTATATGCTGTTTTTCGTCATTCATTCTTTTTTTTCTCATTGAAACTGCTCAGAATTCAGAGCGTATCATCAAAAGCCATTAAAAAATAAGCATAATGAAAGTGTTTCGATAAAAAAAATCACTGCAATCGTCTTATAGTTGGAAATGAGCTGAGGAATATTCCAAATGATTATATCATTATTCAATTATAGGCAGAAGGATAAAGAGGAAGTGAAGAAAAGTGAACTGGAATCACACGTGGATGATTGCGATTGTATATTGTGCAAGAACTGCGCTCATAATAATCAACTACAATTCAACGTCTCATTTGCATCATTTTTGTTCAACTCATTCTCATCATGTTCTTTTCAGTTGCTCGCTAAGAAGTAAGTTTGTTGTATCGCATTTTTAAAAGTTTACTTATTGTTATTCTTATTACTTATTGTTATTCTTACTGCTGTTGTTGATATAATTCCTATTGTTATATCACACTAATGATTTCATTATATTTGTTCATTTTTCTTATTTTATTGTTTTTTTAGATTTTATGAGCTGAAAACAAAGTTTACAGAAGAGCAATCCTCAATGAGTAACGCAATTGGAGTGAACATCAAAACAGAGGTATCAATAAATGATATGGATTTTGGCGGAATTCACTGAATGAATATTATCAGAACAATTTCTATTGAATCAAAATCAATACTGAAGAGTATAACTGATGTTGATTTGATTATTAGACGATAATTTTGCTGCAGTTTAAAATGTTTGAATTGTTATCCTTTTCTCTTTCCAGCGCAAAGGTTCAGTCCATAATTTTTAGGCGGGATACTATATTATTACAGTTCAATTTCTCCCGCTGTCATCAGATTCCAAGCGCGATTATAAATTCCAATGCCAACTTGATTTATTTTCATAGAGGAAAATTTAAATTAATTTCATCAATTGCGTCATCAGTTTCTTCGACATATTTTTCTAACCTTATTACGAGTCGTTTTATCTGCAGAACAGCTATCCACTGTCCGTTCGCTATTCATTTTTAACGGCTGCCGTACGTTGGTTGAGTACAAATGGAGTGAATGAAAAAGCTGAAATCAATGAAAAAGTGATTCGACAATCTTTAAAGGTAAACTTTATTAACCTTTGTACGCCTGTTGTAATAACTGCTCTTTAATGATGATTAAACACTCGAATTAAATATTTGAAAATGATGACAATTCAGGTGGTCGTTTAAGGTTGATTGAATACAAAATCAGTTGGAAGTCAAATTATCAAATCGCCTTGTTAACGAATAGTTGTATTCATTTACATTGAAATTGAGTTTGTTTAAATTTGAAGTTGTGTCAAAGTGATCTTTGTCATTATCGATGGCAGTGGTTAACAATAAGGCAATTCGAACGAGTATTCCTCCAAAATCAGTCATCACATTCACCGTGGATGAAACACTGTTTAGATACGGATGATCTGAATGTAATCGCTGAGCATTTCAACACTCTGTTAGTTTTTAATTTTATTCTTTCACGCAGTCATTACTCTCATTTCAGTATTCATTGAGCTGTTTGTTTTAATTAATATTTTATTATCTCGTTGATAAGTTGATTCGTTTCGCGTACAGTTGATTAAGATTTTCAGATTATCACTTCGGGCCCAAACACCCAGCCATAAGCAAACAGGCAAATCATCAAAGACAACTTCAAGAGCAACAACTCGAACGTCAGCAAAGTTGAAGTGCGATGCCAACGATAGTGATCAAATAGAAACGGCTGAAAGCATAGCATCTGGATCAAATGATTCTTTTGATGGCGCAATCAAAGATTTTCAACAATACGCTCATCTTTTCTATAGGTCATTAAATATTTTCTAATTTATGTATCGGTTCCATTTTCTTTGCATATTTCAGCTTACTGCTTACTGCAAAAATACCACATACTTTTATCTTTGTGAATATTTATCATTTACCAACAAAAGCGTTGAAGATAGTGGTAGAATGTAAGCGTTCAAGATTATACTCTGCAAAGTGATATAAAACTAGCAGTAGTGCGACATAATTCCCTACGAGTTTGCAAGGAGAAGTTATGCGTTTTTGGTGCACACGGAACTGGATAATGTTTATCTTTTATCACTCATTTAATCAGAAAAGGAATGGAGAGCATTCTCATCATGAATTGTTTCTGTTAGAAACTAAAGCAATTGTTAACAAAAATGAAATCTCTAATGATTTTCTAAAACGCACTTGCAAGTGTCCATCGCACACAATGAAGAATAGTGTGAAGAATGAAATATTTTTGTGACTGATTTAATTGTGATCAGATGAAAGGAATGTTCAGAGAATGGCGATATATGATATGTTCGAGTATTGCTCACGCCTATCTCGAGAAAGATGTGTGGATGAGTGCGTTTATGTTCAGTGAGGCGAATTGTTTTGCTACACGACAATTGGCTCGTTCAACCGATGAAAACGGTGAAAGTTTTCGTTACGAGAATATCGATGACTTCAAATTGGCCGTGCAAGCACTTCCGACAGGTTCTTTCATTTGTTCATTTTCACTTGTTTTGATTTTATCTTGTTATTTTGCTGTGAATATCAGAAATTGAAAGGCAGAAAAGGTTCAATCTCGAAACATCTTCATGGTACACTTACATTGAGAAGTAAATAATCATTTAACCGAAACGTTGAAACGGCTGCATTTATTTGTGCTAAGAATCAACGAAGCTATTATTTATGGTTGTATTGATTCTCAGTTCGTCAGCTTAATTTCGGCTGTTTTCCTCTCAGATATCACTGTTGTACAGTTGTTCTTGGACAGTTGTCGTGTATTGTGGCTTATTCGATTGCATTCTCAGCGAACGCCGTTGATCGTTCCAGTTGCAGTTATTCAGCGGGTACGTTTGAAAGCTTTTCAATAGCTCACGAACACTTATCGTTTTCACTTTAATGGATTTGATAATTCTTTCAATTCACCTAAAGAAATTGTTGATCACATTCTACATTCACCTAATTTAATTCTTTTTGAACCATTGTTTGCTCTTGCAGTCAGCTTTTTGATGACAATAAAAGTTTTTTCCATCACTCTTTGAATTTATTGTTTATTTTAGCAACGAACATTTTGAGAGTGACTAGACCATTTGATTGCAGGATGATGATATGTTGAAGAGATTGAGGGAATTGCTGGAGGAAAATGATGTTTCCGGCAAGATGAGTGCCACTTGCAGTGATGCCAAGAAATTTTGGACAATACGTCGGAAAATTGACAAGACTATGCAGGTTACTTATATTCCGTATTAATACTTTTACGCTTTCACTCAGTTACAGTCATGTTTGAATGCGTTTCATTCGATCGTTTTGATCATTAAATAACGATACCCCAGCGCACATCACAACGCAGAAAAGCAGAACTTGTTGGTTTCGATGTGCTGAATAATTTGTTGATACGATTACGGATCGTTCTAATTGGTAAGTAAGTTTGTTATGAAACCATACTGAATGTGTTCATGTAGGTTAGCGTTTGAATGTTTTACAAATTAAATGTTTGCACTGGTTGATGAGTGACGATTTACAGCTGTTGATAAAAGACGTTGAAGAAATATGGCTGCGCGAATTCGCACCTCTTCTATTGCCATGTTGTACATTAACTGAAAATGGAACATCATTTGTAAATAAAATCACAAAATATGGTTTTTCTGAAAATTCGGCGAAGGTTTATTTTTTATTGTTGTTAAATTTGAGGTATACTCGTGGATATGATATTACCGATGGAAACGGTTTTATCGTAACGATCCCTGCCAACTTGTAATCATTTGCAATATTCAACCGAAACTTGTTTTATTGATAGTGAATGTTTTGAAGGTAATAATTGAAATGAGCTCAGTTCTAACCATTGATAAATGGTTATCATTGATTGAACGTTTCGCTAAACTGGATCACGTGAAACGGCAATCGGTTGCGTTGAATGCGTTATCGAAATTGTTTAATAATTGGAATAATGATAATGACAATCCCGTAATCGATCATAGCGCTCTCAACTATACATTACTCATTGTATCACCGGTTAGTTGATATTGTTCATTATTTTTAGAATATTTCATCTGTATTTCAGTGAACTGATTTCTTCATATGCAGCTGTAAGATAACATAAATGAATGATCAGTACTCTTTTATGAAATCAAATAATCGAATGTTGAGACTTCTTTGCTGATGAAGCAAATGCGATTGTGATAAACATAATCCTACAATGATAAACACTATGATGAGCATAATCCTAATAAAATCAGAGATGAAAATATTATTTGTAATTATCAAATGAAATATGAAAGCAGTCAATCATCTTAAGGAGTTAGCATCGTTTCCATTTGAAATGGCACCGATGATGAGCGATTTCCCTCGTGTGTGTCGAATTACATCGTTATATTTATTCCAACGAATTTTCACGAAATCTGCAAAGGTTATTTATTAAATCGTATGAAATATTTCACGTAAATTTATCATCTGTATCTTTGAATGGTCTTCAAAAATAACCTTTATTTGGCCATTATGATGGTAAAAGTAACAATTATTGAGATTTACAGCGTTGTGATATTCTGTTTAACTGAACAATGGATTTGTAATGTGTGCTTCATTTGTGTTCTAGATACCAAAATGTGTGGACGGCCGTAACTCGTTTTATTTACTTGATCCACTCGGTGATTTACCCGAAACACAACATCGACTTGTTGAGAAACTGAAGAATGTAGAGGGTTGGAAGGGACTCATCGGGCAATTGCCCGATCCGAACCAACTGAAAACTTTGCTTGAAAGCAGTGATTTCTTTTTGTTNTTTATTATTTACGTTTTTTCACTGTCAATGTGTCCAGTCATCATTTTGTTTATTGTTGACTGGTTCATTGATAATTCGAGTGACATGTGAATAATTATTGTGCTATGGCAATTTTCAATATCATTTTAGTTACATTGGTCACGGGAGTGGTGGACGATACTTTGGAAAGGCAGGCATTCGAAACAGCGATTGCAAAGCTGTTTCCGTGTTAATGGGATGCTCAAGGTGAATTTTCATTTCAAGGAAGTAATTCGTTACGAAGGTGATAAGAAAATACTGTTTATGCGTTAGAGAGTAATATGGAAAGAATTATGAAAATCAGTGGGATTGTTGTCATTGTTGCTAATATTATTACTTTCGTTATCATTGTGATTATACGATAACTATCAGTTTTCTCTTCATTGTCGTCGGCACAATTAGAGTCGTGATTGCAGCGTGCGAACGATTCATGAAGGTGATGGTTTGGATGGACGAAACGCGATTTATGACTACAATGTGGCGAGGTGTCCGTGTGTAGTTGGATGTTTGTGGATGGTGAATTTGTTGCTTTTTTAATGTTTTTTCGTAATGAGTGATTGATATTTATGTATGCAATTTATGAGTTCTGAAATGTATTGACGGCGTTACGTAAACGTTTGGTATGCAGGTAACTGACGGTGAGATCGATCGTTTCTTCCTTGCGATGATCTCTTATTGCTTCTCGGATAAAGTTGACGAGGCACTCGCAAAATCCAATCAAAATGGGTTTGTTTTCAGCGACATCGTTCCATTTCTATTCTTCTCATCATTATTTCTTGCAACGTATGATCGGCAGGAATACTTGGTATTTGATCAGTTATTTTGCTAAATCAACAAACAATTGCGATGTTTTTACAGTTTTATATGGGAAATTGTGTGAAATGAATTGATTAAATGAACGCTGTCTTGATTGAAGTGAATCGAATAATGATAATACAATGAACTTGCAGAGACACGTCTTCATATCGTCTGCTAATTGATGCTATCGCCTATGCCAGGAGATCTTGCAAACTGCGGTATATGACCGGAGGAGCGGTGGTGGCCTACGGTTTACCGATTATGTCCACCAATTCGCATTTATTTAAATGGATTAAGTGAACTGATGTTACCTGCATATTCAGTGCGGTAATTTCAAAAGTACTGATCGGATTGCTCACGTACCAAACTAGTTTTTGATATTTGTATACGTACACTTGTAGTTGTTAACTTATTATAACAATTATAAAAAACTGTTCATTCAGGTTTTATTCATTTCGTTCGGGTTGTCCCATAAGACCTCTATGTCGAATGCTTGATCTTTATTGTGTTTCATTGGTCTGTAGTTATGCTGAACTAAGGCGACACAATTGGTTTGCTCCAAATGAAGCGCTGAATTTAATTCGTTTATCCACTTTTATTTTTTGTGTCTCACTGTATTATGTCTCGAAAATGTTCACTCACAATGAAATGATCGCAAACTTCTACGGTTAAGTAAAGATAAGTGGCTAATGAGGTGATGTGCAGAAGCGGACAGGAAGGAGAAAAGCTGTGGTCACGTGGCAAATCCACGAGATTGTCAATCGTTTGTGCAGATCCCAACGATCATTTCGTTTGTCGATATTTGAGTTTTCAGTAGCACACACGTTATAGGTTGTTCTTTGCAATAATACCACGATTCGTGGATTTTGTTTTGAACTTTTGTTAGCCATGCAGCGAGATTTTATCTCTCTCCATTATGTTGCACGTCATTCATGTAGAATGTTGACTTTCAAAGAATGTCAGTGCGGAGTGAGTAACGCGATCCCACATGATCTGAAAGTTGCAAGTAATGTTTGCTGTCGTGAAACGATCGTTTCATTCCAAAAAATTTATTCTTTTATGTATCTGAAGTCATCACTTGAAATGGCTAGTTAAATAAATTTGATGAGATAAATTAATAAATTTGATTGTGAATAATGGTGCTTCCGTATTTATTTTGCTTGGAAATTACGTATTTTGAATTATCGTCTATATGTAGAGAGATTAGAATTAGTTGCTTTCAAACCATATCGCCATTATATTTTGTCAAGCAGTTTGTATTCTCTGATATTTACGAACAACACCGTAAATTTCGTGCAGCTACGTGACGTTGTATTCTGAGTGAGTGCTTAATTAAAACAATCCGAAAATTCGTTATTTATTTCAGTGAATGTTTTATTGACGTTTTGAGTGTATGTGATATCATTTTATAATGAGCGTTGTTGCGTGTTTTAATGCTGAAATGATGACGTTAATTTGATGATTGAAGATTTTTCGTTCGATTGCATTTGTTTGTTTTGTCTTATCTGCTCGTGTCTTGGTACTGTTCTTGTTGAGTTCTACTCAGTCGTGTCATCTGATCAAGGAAACGATGTTTCACTGCAGTGCATTGTGTTCTAAGTGTGAGTTGAATTAACGCAATGTAAATATTTCAAATTCCATTGCTTATTCTGCTATAAGTTTTATTTGTATTTGTATTGTTTATGATATGAGCATATGATGAGTAGTATTGTTTGCTGCAAGACTGCTGTCCTCTCTTGCCGTACTCAAGTGATGGAGTTGATTTCGTAATTGAAAATTTTTTAGTTGAACTTGTTTCATTTTGTCTATATGTTGTCTTTTACTATTCTTTCCTGATGATGGTTATAACGAGATGATTTTTATGTCTTCATTCATCAGTTGTATCGTTCGTTATATTGTTCCATTCTCAAATTGAAATTCCGTTGAAATTGTGTAAGTACAACTGTCGTTAATAAATATTATAATATTTCATCATGATAATTCTCGATCTCGTCTCCATGAACTAACTATCGAATAGATCGATCCATCGCATGTTTGCACCGAGTTGGTCGGTCGATCATAAGGCTGTCCGTTTTTTCGTCCATTGTTGAATTTTAACGATCATTCTGAATTTCACAACAAAATTAACTGGAGGCTTTGGTGATTATTTATTTGTTGTTGTTGAGTTGGGTTTCATTTATGGGACTGGAGAGGTGTTTCCCATCATTTATTGTTTAACGTTTTTGCTTATTTGTCGTGAAAATTGAATTGCTCGGTTGGGAAATTCGCTTTTTTGCACGGCTTTTTGATGTCATTTGTACACTTGACTTGTTCGTATTCCTTCTTAGAGAATCGAACAGTGCAATGAAATTGGCTGATGTGATCAATCTCGCATCATAACCAATGAATGATATGCATGCGACCAGACAATGATACCAGTTGTACTTCTAGTTCATATCAGTAAATGAGCATAGTTTCTCCAGTTACTTTTGCGAAGAAAAAATATCTTCTTGTGTCTTCTTCGCTGCTTATTATTTTTGTCTTATTCGTCAGTCAATTTGGTTGTCGCCCTTTAAAATGATAATTTTGTTGAGTGATGATTTGTTTTTTATTTTGTTTACTCTGAACTCAAGTTGGTGATAATCTGGTGTTATAATCAATGGCTACAATTAGATGACAGGCGTCTTAGAACGGTTGGTAGTTGTAGAGCTCATAGCGATGAACGTATTCTACCCTCATTCGCTTGTATTAAGCACAGTTTTAGGCTCTCTTCATTCGGAATCACGTAATGTGAGGTCAGTTTTTATGTCCTCATTCAGCCCTTCCATCATTCTAATCGAAATTTTGAAACGGTTGCTCTAATCTGAAACATTTCCGTTGAAATTTTGAAATGATCTCTGAAAGACAGATCACTTGTAAGTGTCGTGCACTTATCGTTACTAGTAAATTGTTGAGCGAAGATTTGTTAAGCTCGAAGCAGGGCTAAAAATACGGTACCCGGACAATTCGTCAACAGACTTTTTGACTACGGACAGTTTGTCTAAAGATACATTGCCTAACAGACGGTTTGTCGACTGTACAGTTTGTCTAAAAGACGGGTTGTCTAGTGAATATTTTGCCTAATGGGCGTGCGAGACTGTTAGGCGCACCCGTTCAGAACACTTTGGCTATGTTCATCTCGTGGCTATTATTAGAACACTTGAAGTTAGCAAGATCAAACAACGTGCCTAGTTCATCTTTAGCACCAGTGGTGGACAGCTTGCTTCAGCAGTCTCCTTCATGGAACTATGTTTGAATTCATACACAGCACATTTCCTTCATTGGTCAAAACTTGAGTTTGATTGAAGCCATCAGAACCACCAACGTTGATATGCACAAGTGTTCTGATAATAGCCACGAGGTGAACATTCCCAACACGTTCTGAACGGGTGCGCCTAACAATCTCGCATGCCCATTAGGCAAAGTGATATTAGACAAAATTCCCATTAGACTAACTCCGATAGGCAAAATGTCCACCAGACAAATCGTATGCCAGGCAACGTGTCTTTAGACAAATTGTCTTTAGTCAAAACGTCTGTCGACAAATTGTGCGGTCACTAAAAATACACTCGTATGAGTTTATACGCTTTTCGCAAGTTGACGAGAGTGCTGAGTGCTAGGGAAAGCTTTTTGTGAGCCAAGAGCAAGCAGCACATAATTACGAACGTGTTTCCTTCAATCTCCAAATCATTAAAATAATCAAGAGTGTTTACCAGATTCTCAGTATTGTAAATGAACTACACTTTAGCTGGTGTTATCGCGCGTGTAATTTTGAGAAAATAGCATTTTAAGGAAAAGTATTCAATACTCCCTCAAGGAATGTTTTACTTTACCTGACCTACTCGGTGACTGGTGGTGACATATCCTTCGAGCTTCGTTTCTTCCTGTAATAATTGTTGCACACAGAGTTATTATAATTTTAACATATCGCTGTTCCAGTTATGATGTTTGAGATCTATTTTTATAGGTAGGGATATTACCGGGAGTAGTTTTAATAATGATAATAATAGTGAATAGTAATGAAATTTATTCATAATCAGGGATGAATTTATTCATTATGGTTAACATTGTTGCACTTATTATAAAACCACTGATTTATTTGTTTCTTTTTTTTTCAATTTTTATTCCACTTTTCGTATATCTCGTTTCCTTCCAAATGAAAATTTCTTCTCAATGAATTTGATATGTTCAGAATTCACATTCGATTATTTCAAAATTCATACATATTTCCAAATATTTAAGATTCATATTACGAACATCAATGCAACGGCAGACAGATGTTTGTTATGAATTTCATCAATGAATCGTCAATAAATATCCGATTTTATTTCTTTTTTCCCAACCGATTATTTATGGAAATGCGTAAAAATTGATGGCATATTTTATTGCGAACATATGGTCGAAATTTTAGAAATGTTATTTTTTTCGATGGGAGAGGTATTTTGTGGAGGTTGTATTTTGAGTTTGCTGCTGAACGTTGGTCATCACTCAACATCAACATCGTCATATTTTCATTGAACTCCTTTACAGAGAATAAATCATTTATCGTTATTATCATTATAATTATTATTATAGTTTATTTCATCGACTCATTCTCTCATCCACTTCAAATTCCTTTCAATTCGTCTTCTAAACTTCTAAATTAAAACTTAGCACTGAACGTGTGTCATTGGAAAAAAATATCTTCGATCGTCAAATATGACGAATATGAATGAGATAGTCGTTATTGGCTGCTCGAAGAGTAAACGTTTTGTATGAATTATTTTTTTAAACGATTTCTCAGAACTTCGTTTTGGTTGATTAGATTGACGTAGCGGCAGTGTCTTCAAATGTTTGAGGTTTAGTCTCATGATGGATATGTCGCGAAATGCAAACGAACTTATTCGTTCTAACTGGCTGACTGATTAAAACAACCGATAACCGTTCAAGCAGCTCTTTCCATTCAGAAGCACAACATTCGGACAAAATGAACTGATCGAAAGACCGATAATAAAATTATTAAGAAAAGCCATTAAAACAACTCAAAACATGGGCCCAAATCCCTGGGAAAGGGGTGGAATCTTTGGCAGTCGAAACTGTATAAAAGGAGAGCTATCTGGAACTTAGGTCGTCTTCGGCTCAATCACCCGGTTATTGTATTCTCTGGAGGCATTCGCCTCGAAAATATATTCGTAAGGCAATAGTCTCGAAACTATATTCCAGAGGCAATAGCCTCAATTCGGTAATCGATCGACGGACGTCTCATCCCGGCATTCTTTTAACGAACATCTCTACTCAGTGTC